AAATTTTTTTTTTTTTTTTTTTTTTTTTTTTTTGTTGCTTTTTATTATATATATTTTATAAATGTATATCTAATTTATATATTCTTTTGTATATGTTTAAATTATGATTGATTATATTTATATTTTCATTAAATAATTAATTATATATTGAATATTCTGTACAAAATACATATATGAATTTAATAGAACTTTTTTATATTAAAATAAGTTAAAAAAAAAAAAAAAAACTAATAAAAAAAAAAAAAAATAATAATAACAAATAAAAGAAAATTTAAACTATATTAGCTTATTGGTATTTATATTTTTTCTTATAAATATATAGGTACATCACACTGAAGTGTTCATACAATTAAATAGAACAAAAAATAAATTATTACCAAAATAATTATCATAAACAAAAGACAAACATAAAAGGAAATAAAAACTTAAAATAGTTTCACATTATTATTATTACTACTATTATTATCAGTGTTATTATTATTAACTATTTTATTTTTATTTGTTTGAATTTGTTCATACATATGTGTTATTATCTAACATTTATAATATTTCTTTATATAAAATTTATGAAATTTTTTTTTTAAATATTTTAATCACATAGCTTTTAAGGAATTATATCTCTGTTGATATATTTTTAATTCTTTGTCTTTTTCTATAATCTGTTTTTTCTTTTCTTCTTTTGCTTTTTCTAGACTCGAAATTATTTCTGATTTAAATAATTGAAAATTACATTCTAATTTTTCTTTTTCTCCTTGCTTTAAAAAATTATTGTGCTCTATATGTTTATTTTTAAATTGGCAAGCTAATGTTTCTTTTAATTCTTCATATCTTTGTTTTAACATTTCTTCTGTTTCTTTAATTTTTTTTTCAGAATTTTCCTTTCTATTTTCAATTTCCTTTAAGTTTTTATCTTTTACTTCTATTAAATTTTTTGAACTTTCTTCTATTTTTTTTTTTTCTTCATTTAAGGAGGATATTTCTATTTCATATTTTTGTATGTTCTTTGTATAGTTATCTATTTCACTCTTTATATGTTTACTTATATTATTTTTCTCTTTTACTTCATTACAGATGTTATTAAAAGACTCATTTAATTCTTCATAATTTTGTTTATAAGTATCTTCTTTTTCATTATTTCTTTCATTTTTTATTCTTATACATTCTTCATTTGATAAGTTTATTAAATTCAAAAATTTGGAAATTTTAAAAAAAAAATTTTTTTCTTCTTGCAATAATTTTTCAGATCTTTCTATATCACTTAAGATTTCTATTTTTTTTTTTTCATTTTTTTCTTTTATTTCTCCCATTTCTATAAATTTTTCTTTTTGCATTTGAATAATACTTATATAATCATTAATATCACTATGAATTTTTTGTAATTTTTTTTCAATAGAACAATACGATTCCTGTAATTGCGAATTTTCCATTTGTATAAAATTATATTTATCATTTAAACAAGAATACTCTTTTTCTTTTTCTTTCATTTTATTTTTATTTTTGATTAATTCATCACTTTTGCTCTTTACAAATTTAGTAGCAATTTCATCTTCTTTTTTTTTTTCTTCACATATTTCGGTTATATCTTTTAATTTTACTTCTAAATTTTTGTAATTTTTTTCTAATAATTCTTTTTTTATCTGCATATCAGAAATTTCATTTTCTAAAGTATTTAATTCTTCATATAAATAATCACATTTTTCATTTAAATCAGTATTACATTCAAGTAAATTTATTAGAATGCTTCTATTATTTTCTTCTAAATTATTTAATTCACTAATAATTTTTTTATTATCTGACATAAGATTTTGAATTATATTATTTACATCTTTTATCTTATCTTCAATAATATTTAAATTACTTGAGCTTTTTTTTTTTTCATTCATTTGATAATTACATTTTTCTTTTATACTCTCAAATTCTTTTCTGAATTCATCAATTTTTATTAATAAATCTTGATAATTTTTTTCAATAGCAATTTTTTCTTTATTTTTTATTTCTATTTCTTTTATTATATTTCCTTTTTCTTTATCTAAAATTAATATGGTATTTTTAATACTTATTATATTATCCTTAATGTTTTTTAAATTATTTGTTTTTTCTTTAATTGATTCGTAAGAATTTTGAAATTCTATTAATTCTTGTTCTTTAATATTTTTTAATTTTGATTTCATATCATTATTTGTTTTTAATAAATCATTAATTACACTTTCATATTTTATAAAAATATAATCTAAATTAGTTGTAGTATAATCAAAGTAATTACTAATTAGTTCCTCTTCATTTTTTAACTCAATACTTTGTCTTTTTAGTAATTTTTCTAATTCATCATAAATATTTTTTAAATAGATAAACTTTTTTTCAATTGTGGTTAATTCAAACTCTGTTTTTGATCTTTTTTTTAATTGTTCACTTATAATAACACTAATATCAGTTTTTATATTTTCAAATAATTTTATTTCATTTTCTTTTTGTCTACTTGAATATCCTTTTTCTAATAAATTTATAAAACTTTCTCTACTTCTTTTAACTGAATTTTCCATTATAAATGTATAAAATAAAATAGACTATGTTGTTTTATTACACATATATATATATATATATATATATATATATATATATATATATATATATATATATATATATATATATATATATATATATATATATATTTATAAATTCTTTTTTTTTATTTATTTTTAACACAAATATATATATATTATATATATATATATATACAATTAAAACCTATTATAAAATGATTTCAAAAATTTTAAATTTCTAATAAGACAAATTATAAAATATATATATATATATATATATATGTGTAAAATTGACAGATAACTTATATTTTACTAATGAAATTATTACTTTTATATATTTATCTTTATATTAATATACAATAAAGAAATAAAAAATAAATAATACAAACAATTTTATTAAGAATTAAAAAAAAAAAATAAAAAATAAAAAAAATAAAGCATAATGAATTTACTTTAAAATATGAGATTTTTTCTATTTTTTTTTTTTTTAAATAGCATTTTCTTATAATTTCATTCGTATTAACAATCTTTGTTATAATATTTTTTGTGTACATACTAATATATATATATATATATATATACATATATATATTTATATATATATATATATTTTTTTTTCAATTAAAACTCAAATAGTTTATCAGTAGTTTAATAATTTAACTATATTAAAAAGAAAATTTTTTTTTTTTTTTTTTTTCCCATTTTATTATTTTATGAATAATTTTCCCTTTCCTTAAAAAGAAGTATATAATTAGAAAAAAATACACATAACGAATGTTATAAATTATTCATCATTATATATTTTTTTAGTTTATTATCATTTTTTATATAAAAAATATGCAATATTTTAAACATAAGATTAAACTTATATTTTTTAATAAAGTATTTTAATTAAAATATATATTACTAAAATAAAAATAGAATTATAGAAAAAAAAAAAAGATATTTAGAAAAAATGCATAATAAAGATAAAAAGTGGATGAAAAAAGAAAAATTGCTTAAATCAATAGAACAATATTTACAAAAAATGGAAGCATAATTATAACTAATAAAAATATATATATATATATATATAAAAAGTTATAACAATAAAAAAATTTAATTCAAATATAGAATTTTAAGAATAAAAAAAAAAAAAAAAAAAAAAAAAAAAAAAAAAAAATATATTCTTAAATGTACATTCATTATTCAGACAAGATATAATTTTCTCATATATAATTTTTAAAATTTAAATATAAGATTAAAATTATAATAAGAATAATTGAATGTTTAAAAATAAAAAGATATTATCCTAATTTTTTTCTCCAGAGAAAAATTTCTTGTTTTTTAAAATATCGTCTTTCTTCTTCATCAACAATTATGAGATTAATATAATATTTTACTGAAAATTTATTTTGAATATTTTTATATGTAGGAGTTAAATCAAATCCACTTAAGTATAATCTAACTGGTATACATTCAGATTTTGTTGGAGAACCATCCATTATTTCAAATTTTGATAAAGTAATAGATTCAGTTGTATAATTCTTACCTACACCTGATGTTTCCATTTTTATAATATCTAGTTCCATATGTTTTATTTTTATTCTTACTAATAAAAAATATACTTTTCCTACAACTACATCTTTTAAATGATACTTTGATTTATCATATTCAAATTCTATATGTAAACAATCTTCTATTCCTACTTCCATTTTTATTGTGTTATTTATTTCAGGTGGAATTGATAAATTTTGTACAATAAAATCCATTTCTTTTTGTATATTTCCTGAATATCCTTTTATGATATTTAATCTAACAAAATATCTAAGTTGTACATTTACACCAAAATATGATTCATGTTGTTTATCAACTGATGAAAATTTCCATTTAAATTGTTTGCTTTCTATTAATAAACCTGGAGGTTCTAAATCTTTTGACATTGAGAAAAAATCATATGAATTTGTTTTATCATTTAATATATTTATTTGACCAATTAATTCCAATTTAATCCCATAATGTTCAAATTTTTTACCAGGTTTTAAACTTATTGTTGCTGTTCCATTAATATCTTCTCCATCTGAAAATATTGGACATCTTTCACCCTTTTTGTCTTTTCTTAAAAATGCAAATTTTCTATTTTCTTCAGCATCTATATTTAAATTAATTGAACATACACTTCCAAATATATTAGACAACTAAAAAAATAAAAAAAAAAAATTATAATATTAAAGTTTATTATTCAAATTTTTTTTTTTTCTCTAATTTTTTTTTTCTCTAATTTTTTTACATATAAAAATATTACTTATTTTTATTACAAACCATTATCAGGATTTTAAAGAATAAAAAATATATCTTAATAGCATAAGAATAATATTAATATAAAAACACAAATAAAAAAATCATTTAATAAATTCCATTCTATTAAATTATTAGACAGTTTTTTTTCATATACTTAAAGAAATTTTCCTCAATAATTTTACACTGATATATATATATAATGTAAAATATATATATATTTTTTTTTTCTAAAATACAAAAAAGGTAAAAATATAATTTTAGTATAATTTTGAAATATATAAATGCTAACTAAAAGTATAAGAATTAATAATGTATTATAACTTTTAATTCCCTATAATGATAGAAAAAATAAAAAAAAAAAATAACATATAATTAAAAACTTTATTTATTTTTTTTTTCTTTTTTTTTAGATAATTATTTATTATAAAAATAATTTCAATTTTAAATAATATTATTTTAAAGTATATACCTTTTATAATCAAAAAAAAATAAAAAAATTAAAGTTTAAATTCTTTTTATCTTCTTTAGATTTAACTATTCTTTGTTACTATTTTTTTTTTCTTTCATTTCATTTACTTTCTAAATGATACTTGTTTAATTACATAAAAAAATAATTTTGTGTTAATAAAAGAATTAGCACTTCTTTAATATATATTTTATTTATTCTTTCTGTTTTAATTTTTTTTTTTTTTTGTTTTTTTTTTTTTATATATACACCATAAAATTTTGAAATATAAAAAGGTAAAAATTATTTAAGTAGAAAAAAAAAAAAATATAAAATTTAGCATATACACATGTAAAATATATTATTTTTATTAGGATTGGAAAAAAAAAAAAAAAAAAAAAAAAAAGATGTAAAATTAAAAAAAAAATATTATATATATATATTTATATATATATATATAATTTGACAAATATTTTATAGTTGAATATTTCACAATTGAAATTAATTGTATATATATGCAAATTTCCTCTTTTTTTTTTTTTTATTTGAATTTTTAATATAAATTATGTATATTAATATTGTATATAAATTTATGACGAAACCTTAGTAGAATATATAAATATTTTTATTTATTTAAATTCAATAAATAAAAATATATTTGTAATATGAAATTTAAAGTTTCATAAAAATTGCATTATACAAGAAAAAAAAAAATTTAACAAAAACTAAAATTAAAAAAAAGACATTTTACTGAATTTATATATCAAAAATAATTAATTAAAAAGTAATCCTTATTTTTAAAAATATTTAAAATTGAAAATATAAGATTTTTATTTATAAAAAAAAAAGAAAAAAGGAATAAAAAAGAGAACTTTATTTTATAGAGTTATTGAGATACTTAAAATAAAAATGTCTTAATAATATATAAATTAAAAAAATATTGAAAAATTATGAAAACATGAAAAGTAAAGTATTTAAAAATTATTACTATTTTATTAATACTTTAAAATATATGAAAACTAATAAAAAATGTATGTTTATATATATATAACTTAGTAGACATAAAATATAAATCTATAAATAAGGTTTTTCTTATAAATTAAAAAATCTAAAAATTAAAACAAAAAAAGAAAAGAAAAAAAAAAAAAAAAAAAAAAGAAATTCAAATATTCAAAAGAAATAAATACTAAATCTTAAAAAGAAAAAAAGAATAAAAAAAAAATTGTCTTTATTATATTTATCAAATCATCAAAAAAATAAAAGATTAACAATAAAATTATAAAAATTTTAATTTTATTTTAAAAGTAAAATAAATAATAGATATTACTATACAGTAATAATTTTTAAAAGCCTTTTTCAAAGTAAGGTATATTTAATTAAAAAATAATAAAAAAAAAAAATATATATATATATATATTGTATGAAAAATGAAAAAATAAAAAAAAAAAAAAAAAAAAAAAGGATTACCTTTTAGACTCACACGGGTTCGCATATGCATATTTCAATTTATTTAAATCTTTTAAATTACTTACATAAACATTCTTCTCACATAAATAACAAAATGTTCTTTTTCCTTTTTTCTTTTTTATATGATGAGTACTAACCCATTCTGTAGATCTACAGAGAAGTAATAATGTTGTAAGAGATGATGACAAAAAAAGAATATTTCTACCAACAGAAATAAATTTATTTTGTACTCTTGAGAAAAATGTAAACATAACAAGCTAAAAAAAAAAAAATAATAATAATAAAATTAATAAAAAAAAAAAAAAAAAAAATAAGCTAAATTAAAATTTTATCATTTTATAAAAAAATACAATGATACTTCAATAAGTTTTCACGTATACATAAAATATTTTTAAGAAAAATTTACCTGAAAAAATGCTACAGAAAAAAGCATAAATTTAATTGCAGTTCTCACAACAGCCCCATGGCTATCTAAATTTGTTCTACATATTTCATAAATAAGATTATATTTATCAATATAATATCGTAAAAAAAAATATAAAGAACCTAATGGCAGTATAAAAGGAACGGCAACACTGAATAATAAAAAAAAAAAAAAAAATTTAATGAAAAAATTAAAAAATATACATAAAGTAATAATAATTAATTTAATATGTTTAAAAAAATAAAAAAAAAAATTTTATTTATAATACCTAAATGTTAGTATTAATGCTAAAATAGAAGTGTTAAATCCATACCAATAACCAAAATCAAACGTCCATGCACCAATTTCTTTCTTTGTTATCTTTTTAACAATTGAACGTACTAATAAAAAAATATAAAAATTAATATAATGCATTTAACATGTATTGTAATTAAAATCAAGTAAAATTTTAAATATTTACTTGAAAATTGAGGAATTTGTAATAGCTGATTTGCACATGTTAAAAAGCAACAATGAAGTAAATATCTCATAGCAAAAAATCCACTTGAATTAAAAAGATATTCCCTTAAACGTGTAGACCATTGCTCTATTTCATCAGAATACATCACCTTGAAAAAAAAATTTAACATAATGAAATATAATAAAAAAAAATTATCAAAATTATCAAAATTAGCAAAATTATCAAAATTATCAAAATTATCTTTATCATTTTATTTTCTTATAAATATACTAAATAAATAAATACATATATATTTAATTATATACTTTAATAAGAGAACTTAAGGGTGATAATGACAATAATGGAATAATAATTGTGTTTAAAATTAAAAAAATAAAATTTCCTTGTAACACATAAGTATGTTCACTTGATTTCCTTATAAATCCAATAGCAATCGAAACACATGCAATTAATGCTGGTTGAACTATACTATTCACAAAAATAACAATGAAAGGTGATAACCAAGCTATAAACGTTAAAAAAAAAAAAAAAAAATATATATATATATATATATATATATATTTTGTCTAATGAAATATAATAAAAAAAAATTATTATAAAATATAATATTATTTAAAATGATATTATTTTTCTTTTGTATTAAGAAAAAATATACGTAATATTATACTATTTTTATTCTTATATATATATTTCAATGTAAACATATTTATTTTTTATTTCATTTTTTTTTTTTTTTTTTTTTTTTTTTTTTTTTTTTTTTCATCTGTTCTTTTCTTTAGAAGTTACTTCTTTTATTTTTAATATTATATATTTAATTTTTGTAATGAAAAAGTTCATATAAATATATATTTTTAAAAAACATACTTATTAAAATTGAGCTAATGTTTGATGAATTGGGATCTTCTCTATATTTGTTTACTCTTAATTTTAATATATTATCAATTGAAGTAACTGATATAATAATTATTGTATTAGCTACTAATAATAATGCATTTAAAATAATAAAACGTGCACAAACTTTATAGCTATGATTTTTTAAATTCTTCCATATAATATCATAATTTGGTGGTGCTTTTGATATAATCCACTTATTTCTTTCAGTAAATGGAATATTATGAATACAATCATGAACAGATTTAGTGTCAATAAAAGATACAAAACACACACCTGTAGATTTTTTTGGGGTTTCATTTTTGATTGAATAAAATTTTATTAAATGTTCTTTTAATTTTTTTTTCCAATGACTTTTCTTATTTTTTTTAAAAAAGAACATAAATTTATGTAGAAAATTAGTTCTTAATGTTGATTCAAATGTTTTTTCTTTTTCTTTATAATTTAATTCCATGTTATCATTATCTTTAGTTGAAAGATTTTCTAAATCATAAAATAACATTTCACTATTGTTATTTCTTATTAAGTTATCGTGTAATTCTAATTTATAATTATAATCATTATTTATAATATTTATTTTATTTATTTTGTCTTCTTTTAATGTTTCTTCATCATCACTTGTATCTTTTAAAAAACATACATCTTCATTACTAACGTTGTTACTATTTTTCCTTTTTGTTTTAATCTCATAATTTTCTTCTTTGAAACCTTCTCTCCACCTTTTTCTTTTACATATTTGTTTACAATTATCTTTACTTCTGTTTTTTAGCAAAAAGCTTTTTTGTGTTTTTTTGAAAAAATTATCATCTAAATTATTATTTTCTATATATTCCATATCATTATATACATCTGTGTTTTCTTGCTTTTCATCATTGCCTTTAAAATTTTGAAAATCATTCATATAATAAACTTTTTTATTGCTTTTAATAGATAATTCTTCATTTTCTTCTGATTTGTCATTTGGTAACATAGAATTATTCAAGCTACTTTTTTTTATTTCATGAATATTATATAAAGAGTTAGTTTTACTTAATACATTTTTTGATTCATACTTTTTTAAAATACTCTTTTCTTTCATACTTTTACTATTAACTTGTAGTAAACAAGAATCTTTTTTTTCATTCAAAGGAAAATTCTCATTAGCATATTCATAACTATTTTCAGTATCTAAATTATAGTTTAATGGTAATTTTTTATTATCCATAATTCCCCTATCCTTTTCTTTTATAGCGTTAATATAACTACTTGAATTATTTTTTTCATTAACATTATAATCTTTTATGTTATTATTTGTATCAAGAAGTAATTTACTATTTTTTTTTTTTTTTTTATCCCAAAAGAAAAAAATTTTTTTTTTAAATTTATCTCTTTTGGTATTTTTTTTTTCTTCATTTTCTTTTAATAGTTTTAAGTTTTTAGTAGCATTAAATATTTTTTTTTGTTCATCATATACTATAGAATAATCCAATATTAAATATGCTGATACCACTTTATTATTTGTCAAATTGCAAAAATATTTGTAAATCTTATATGCATTTATCTCATTTTTATCAATACGTGAAACCATTATAGTAAAATTTTGTGGAAGAAATTTTTTTGTTTTCTTTTTACTTGGCCTTATTTTTCTCCATAATAAATAAATAAGAGCATAAGATATAGCACTATATATTAAGGTTATGAAGTACAAAATTGTTAATACATTAATATCTGATATACTTCCTGCACTAATGTAATTAAAAAAAGAAGGGTTATTAATATCATCTCTTGGTATGGAAAGATATAAAGGTAAAACAAGAAAAGTTCCTAAAATGCATAATGAAAATATTATATTTCTATTTGTTTTTAAAAAGAATAAATAATATTTAATTTCTGTATTTACAATTTTATCATCCTTTATATTTAAAAAAGTTCTAAATTTATTGGATTTTCCTTTTATTTCAATATTATCATCATCTTTTGCACATGAAGAATCTCTGTCTACTTTAATCTCACTATATGTATTTTGACTTAATATATATATATTATCATTAATTTTATTTTCGTCTCTATTTTTTCTAATATAAAACCATATACCTACACATACTCCAAAGAAAGCTATATCAAATAAAAAAGCAATTAAAAAATCCTCTGTTTCGCTTTTCATTTTTTTATCTTTTTTTTCTTTTTTTTTCTTTTTTTTTTTTTTTTTTTTTTTTTTTTTTATTTCTTCTGTAACATTATATACTTTTTTTTATTCATAGAGTTACTTTTTAATATTATTTTTTTTTTTTTTTAATATTTTTTACTCTATTTTTGTGTCATAATAAAATATTTTTTTTACATTAAACCTTCTCTTTTTGTATAATAGTATTAAAACAAAACTATTGTACTCTAATTAAAAAAATTTAAACATATTACAAATAAAAAATTTAACTCCTTATGATTAAAAAAAAAATTGGATTTTCCTTTTTTATAAAATTATAAAAATAAGTTTTATTAAAAATTATTCTAACATTTTCGATTTTGAAAAGTTTAAAAAATAAAACAATAATTTTTAGTTTCAATTTATATCTTTTGCACTTTAATTTTTTTTCTTTTTCTTCTTTTTTTCATATTTTTTTATTAATTATATAAATGCTTTATAATATTTAATCTTTAATATTTTTTCTTAGGCTTTTTTCATTCATACATTATATTACATATTAATAAAAATTTTAAACGCACTATTATATATTAAATGAAACTAATAAAAACTTAATCATGTTATATATATAATATTATTTAAAAAAAACCAAAAAAATTAAAAATCTCCATCTTTATTTCTTCTTTTTTTGTACATTTATAAACATTTGTTAAAGAATTTTCATTAAGAAAAAGAAGTTAATGAAATGAAGTAGTTAAAAGAAAACATAATTGTACTTTTTTATTTATTTTTGAAATAATAAAAAAAAAAAAAAGTCACAAACAAAATATATTATTTATAAATTATTACTATTTTTCTTTCAGCTTAGTCACATTTTCAAAATTTAGAACATCAAAAAATTAAAAAAATATAACATTGAAAGTTTGAAATATTAATAAATATAATGAAGTTTACTGTTTTTAACAAGGAAAATTAACTTTAAAAGTTTATAAAGATGGAAAAAAAAAAAAATTTTTTTTTTATTTATTGTCCACATTTCAAAAGTAAGAATAAGTGATTTATTAAAGAAGTTCATGCATAAACTAATTTTTTCTATGATTACTTATTTTTGAATGTTGTTTCAAGTAAAAAAGATAACTTTATTTTTATTTTTTATGAAAAGAATGAAATATTTTCATACTATATTTCTAATAAACCATAAAATTTTAAAAAGGGAAATAAAAATAAAAATAAATTTTAATGAAATTTGAAAATATAATATAAAATTAATATTATATACTTTTCAAAACATTTTAATGTTTTTAAGTGTAATTATCAGAAGTAAAAAAAATATAAGGTTTATTTTTATTTTACTTTATTTTACTTTATTTTTTTTTTTTTTTTTTTTTGGTTGTATAGAAAGAATAAAATTGTAGACAACATGTAAATTATTTCGTTTGAAAATTTAATAATAATTGAAGGATATAAAAAAGGAAATACACTTTTTTTATTATCCTCTTTTAAACAATATTCTTAAAAATGTATTTCTCTTTATAAAAATTTCATCTTCATTAAAATGATTTATAAAAGTTAAAAATACAATGAATATGATAATATAGATAAAATTAAAGAAATATTACATGAGTATACATAAATCATGTTAATAATGCAAATATTTTTTTTTAGAGAAAAGACAAATTAACAAAAAGAAAAACTTAATACAAATAAGAAAATTATTGAAGCAACTTTTCTTGCAAAAAGACAAAATATAAATATTAACTTAGACATTCCACATTTTTACATTTATATTTCTTTCTATATATTATTAATACAACTTTTTAAAGAACACATTAGTGATTTCGCTGTTTTTTTTTTTTTTTTTTTTTTTTATGACAATTATTAAGAATAAATAAACACTCAGATAAATTATTGATATTTTTTTTTTTTTTTTTAACTTTAAATTATTGTTACACTTAATTTTTTGTGTCAGGTGATAACTGCTAAAGTTCTTTTTATTTTTTTTTAATTATTTTTTCTATGTTTCAAAGAATATCTATATTGAAATTTATTTTACAAAACCTTTCAAACAATTCTATGAACATAGAAAGTTTCACTAATAATTAAAAAAAAAAATAATAAAAAGTAATTGAACATTTTACAGTAAAATTATATATAATTATTTTAGATAAATAAGAAATTCATATTATCTTTAATTATGTGATAATATGTATATATGATCCTTTATATTTATTAGAATATTATTAGCACATATAGATTGTCTATAATACGTATTTCTTTTGATGTCAGGATTTTTCATAAAGTGTATTTTTTTTTTTTAAATTATTAACGTACTCTTTTTTTTTTTTTTTTTTTTTTTTTTTTTTTTTGTGTGTGTCAGGTGCTATCTTATATCTACATTTTTTCATTTCCGAATTTTCCTATTTTTTATTTTTTTTTTATTTTTATTTTTTTATTTTATTTTTTTTTTTTTAAATTTTTATTATGAAGAATATTTATTCATAAAAATTTCCAAAAAAAAAATACATAAAGAAATATATACAAATATACTTATGAATATATATTATATTTACATGTATATGTGTTCATATATATAGTCATAAATTCATACATCATACATATATATTTATATATATATTCTTACGTCAATTGAAAGGAAAAAAGGAAAAACATTTATAAAATTTATTCAAAATTTTAAAATATTCTTCATTATTGTTTTGTTTATAAAATAAATAGATAAAGGTTATTGTAATTTTTAAGTTTTAGACACCTTATAAATATTAAATTTTTTCTATATTTTTTTTTTTATGTAAAACATATTTTATTATTATTTGGTCATATTATATTTAAAAAACAGGAAAAAAAAAATTCTTTTTATTTCATTTTAATTAACTGCCTTTTTTTAAATTCGCTCATATACATTGCTGTTATAATACTATCTTATACACAATAGATTTTTTACATTAAAAGAGAAATCAAATGCATATAGGAATATTTTTAATTCTAAAATTATTTGTTATTATCTTTTTATATGTATTTCTTTAAAAAAGGATATTTCATTTTTTTGTACACATTAAATATATTTTTTTCTAATATTATGTTGTATTAATTATGGTTACATTTTTCTTTTAATAATCCATATCTTAAAACTAAGATGAATGTTTGAACATTTAAGGGTTTTTTTTTTTTTTTTTTTTTTTTTTTTTTTTTTTTATATTTTAAATTTTTTATAACATATTTATATATAAAAAGTTTTTTTTTTTTTTTTTAAATGAAAATACCTAAAATGAAAATAATTTTATTTACTGTTTTATTTCATGTATTTGCTTTTTTTTCAAATGGTGAGAACATACTAAATTTTCAGAAAATAATCAAATTTCTTAAAGAAAGTAATGTCATACCTGATTTCGTTCCTAACATTTTAGAAGAAGCAATTGTAGTAATCCCTCCATATTTGATATATAAGTATAAAGATAAAGTGTACCACTTACACAATGATGTTGATATTTCATTAGATGAACAACCTGAACTTTTTGAGACAGATGGTGTTATGCCAGAACCCTTAGTAGCGGATGGATCAGCAAGCAAGATAATAGAAGGACCAACAATAAAACCAGCATTGGAACCAGCAGGTGACATAGAAGTACCACAAGAAAAACCAGTAGCACATCCGATTGTTCCAGAAGTAGAAACAGTAGATGGAAAAACATTACCCATTGGTGGTGAAGAAGGAAAACTCACACCAAAAGAAGAAGAACTAGTAGACATAAATGAAGAAACAGGAATTGGGGTGCCCAAAGAAATAGCTGAAAAAGAAGCAAAAGAAAAAGTAAAAAAAAAGAAAAAAAAAAAGGTTGAGTTTAAACTTCCAGAGTATACAGAACCAACTACTTCTGATAAAGAAAAAAATACTGTTTTATATTTATCTAATAGAGGAACTAAATTTACATTAAAAGAAATAATTGAATATAAAGAAAATGAGAAAGTATTTAAGAATTTAGAGAAAGGATATGCTATTTTTTATAAAAATTCCACAAAGGCTGAGCTAAGAGATAATATTTATAATGTAGATACATATGAATATAAGGATTTTATAAATGCTCTACATATTTTATTTAAAGAAAGCAATGAAAAATATTACACAATAAATAATATACCTAAGGAAGATTTAATATTTTTTTTTAAACGTTTATATATAAATGTCTACTATTCTTTAAAAAGGTACTTATTTTTTATAGGATATAATTTTGATGACTACGTTTATTCTGTTGATAATTTTTCATTAGATAAATTTTTAAATGATTATTTTTTTCTAACTGATAGCAATTATGGTGATAATGGATCATTCGAAAATATAATAAATAAAATCAAGTATTCAACTACTGCAAAGGACAAATTAAGTTTAAAAAAAATAGAAGAATCGATTAAAAACTTTCTGAGTATGAATAATTTAAAAGTTTTAGATTTAAGATTATTTCATCATTTGTTTTCAAGAAATTATATTTTAAATTATAGTGAAAATGATTTAATTAAATTTACAACGGATATTGTAAACATTACACAAATAGGCATATCTCCACGAATTATTGCTGCAATTTTAAAATATTTATTAGAAAAAATAAATATAACTCTAATGCCTTTATATCCAACACACTCAAAGTATGATTATAGGCTATTAATTGAAAACAACGATTTATTAATATATACAGAAATGATATATAGAGATTTTTTAAAAAACTTTCACACATATGATTTAATAAGAAATGAAATTTATCCAAGAAGTTTTGATGAAATATTTCAACAAAATCCATGGTTATATGAAATACATTCTGATTTTGATAGTACATACGATTTTTTATCAATAAAATATAGCCTAATTTTATCTGATAATATAATGTTGATGCTAGGTAATTATTTCAATGGTAATGAAAAAATTAGAGGATTGATAAAAAAACACAAAGAATCATCAAAAATTGATACATTAGATAAATTTTTAAATGAACTGATAAATTTATTTGAAAAGGAAAAAACCTCCATCCCTCCAATAGCAGTAATGGGACATTCGGAAAGGCCTGTTGAAAGAAGATTAAGCGAATTACAAGCACATGAAGAGGTAGAAGAAGAAGAAGAAAGAAGAGAAAATTTAATGGAAAAAATAAAAAAAAAAGAGGAATTAAGAAAAAAAATAGAGTTAGAATTGGAAGAAGAAAGAAAAAAAAAGTTACAAGAAATAATAGAAAAAAAGCAAAAAGCTGAACAAGAAGAAGAGGAATTAAATGATAAAAAAGAAAAAGAAGATGAAGCAGCAATTAAAAAATTAGAAGAAGAAGAAGAAGTAGCTGAAGTGTTACAAGATGCAACTTTTGATAGAGAATATGAAGAAGATTATAAATCAGAATTAGAATTTGCAAAAACACGTAAGGGTGCTGGTATAGATGATGATGCACCTGAATTTTTAAAAGAAGCTTTGGCTAAAAGAGAACCTGATTCATTTTATTATAATCATGCAAAAAGTTTCTTAAAAAAAAAAATTGAGGAAGTTTATAATACCCATGTAAATTCTGGATATAAATTTGTTACAGATCTAGGTAGGAAAATGGAAGATATAATTTACGAATTAGAGGTAACTGTTTATCCTGATTTTGACGAAGTTAAAGAGGAAGTAATACAAAATTGTAACGAATCTTTTGATAAATTGAAAGGTAAAATTAAGGATAAAGAAAGTCAAAAAAATATAGATACTTATAAAGGAGAAATTGAATCAGAATTTACTGAAATTCAAAAAAAAACAGATGAAAAATATGTAATAATGGAAAATTTATTCATAGAAAAGCTAAACAAGTATAAAGCTGATACTGTAAGTTTATGTAACAAAAAGTTTTATAGTAATTTCAGGAAAAATTTAGGAAAAAAAAAAATGAAAATGTTAGAAGAATTCAGATATTTTTACAAATATTCACTTAGATTTGTAAAAGATTTAACTAAAATTGAAGAGACAGAATATTCAAAAGTGCTTACAGATATATATTCAGAAAACAAAACTAAATATAAAGAGGAGTATTCAAAAAGCAGAAGATTAATAGAAAAGAGTTTAGATGCCGCATATAAATATGAACTAAATGAACACTTCAAAAATGTAGAAGCTATTGTTGAGAAGAATATTCAAGAAGTTAGAAAACATGTCGTAAGTAAAGTAGATCATATAATTAAAGAACTACATAATGAAATGCATGTTGAATTACGAATAGAAAGGATAAGACTTAACAATGAAAAAAAAAAGATAATTGAAAAGTTTAATAAATTAGTTCAGGATGATAAAAAATTACCAGAAGATTTAAAAGTATTGGAAAGTAACTTAAGTGGAATTTCTAGTGATACTCCTGGTAAAGCAGAAAAAGAAATGGCATTAAATAAAGAAATAGGAGTTTTAAAAGAAACAATGGAAACAAATAAAAAGGAATTAATTAAATGTCGATCAGATTTTAACACCATTTCAGAAGAACTTGATAAAATAAACAAAAAAATAGATATTATATATGAACAAAATAGAAATTTTATGTTAATGAAATATGATATTATTAAGGAGTATAAAGTGAGTAAAGGAAAAACTGAAATATTTGTAGTAAATTCAGACAAAGTGTCTGATATATATAGATCTATAGAAAACATAGTTAAAGATTCCATTTTGACTTTAGATGAATTAAAATTCGAAGAAAATGATTTGAAGAAAAAAATAGAAATACTTCAAGAAAAAATAGAAGATACTACTTTGGATATAGAAATTAGAGAAAAATTATTTGAAAATTTTTCTGATGGAGAAAATACTACAAAATATGATTTGAAAAAAAAAGAATTAGTAGCTTTAACTACTGAAATAAATCAATTTAAAGAAAAATTGGAGATATCAGAAGTAAAAAGAGAAATCATATTGGATGAATTACATTATTTGACTCGTGATAGTATATCTGAAATACCTGACTCTTTGAAAATACTGTTACCAAAAGAATCAGATATAATTGAAAACAAACCATTTGAAGACTTCATTGAATCACTTAATGCTGAATTAGGGGCAGAAAATAATGCATTTAGGAGATTAGTTATGACATTTGATGAATATGTACATGATTATGATGACGACCTAATTTTTGTTTATAATTTCTTAAAAGTTTTAAATGATGAAAACAATATGAGAGAGAAATTTGATGCTGGTTTCCATAAGATTCTTAATACACATTTTGAAAAAGTGACGGGATTTTACAATGATCTTAAAAATTATTTTGAATTGAGAAAAAAAGCAGAACTGGAAGAAGATGACAAAGATACATTAAATTATTTAGAAAGAAATATTATTCATTTAGAAGATTTTTTAGAAAAAATGAGAAATGGTGTTCATATTCCTGATTTAAGCTACATTATAACAAACAATGATATTTTTACTAAACAAATAAAAAATGAAAAACCAGAATTACTTGAAGCTTATACACCATTATTAGCAAAATATAAGGAATTAGAAAAAGAAGGAATTGCAATCAATGAAAATTATGATGAACTAATTTTTTATGAAAATAATTATAATCTTGATTCAGAAAAAGTAGTTTGGTACAAAGGAATTTTAAAAAAATACTTACAAAGATCTAAAAATTTATATCAGAAGTCTTATGATCATAACGAAATATCAAGAGTAGACATAACAGGTATAATGGATAAAAAAGTAGAAGCATATTTAGCAAAACCAATATTATTGCAATATGGAGGTGATATATGGGGAGAACCCTATGAGAAAAGGCATTTAAGAGTAATTGTAGATGAGAGAAAATTTCCTTATGTTTTGAAGGAAATAAAAGATGATTACGTTTTAGATAAAATAATTAATACTAATTTGAAAAAAATAAATAAATTAAAAGATTTAAAAGATTATATGAACGTAAAATTATATAATATCATAGAAGAAAAAGATAAAAAGTTATATTTATTTGAAAAATCTGAAATTGATGAGCTCAAATTAATAAATCATGAAGGAAAATTAATTGAAGGTAATTTAAAAAATTTGTTTTCTCATATAGAATTTCCAAATATAAATTTGAAAATGTACAGAATAATAGATTCATTATCATCGTTTATAAAAAATACACAATTTAGTTATGATTCCATAATAGAAATTATAAAATATTTAAAATCAAATAAAAAGGAAATTCACATTAGAGATATAATAAGTCTTAGTGAAATTATATTGGAAAATTCAAATATTTTTTTCATTCGATCGGATGTTTTAACCATTTATATTTGTTCTATTTTAGAATTATTGGGAATTGAAGTCAAAACTAAAGATATCCAAGATAAAGATATTAAATCGAGAGTTTTAATTTATGTGAATTTACTTAAAAGTTATCATTATGAAAAAGTAAGAATAAGAGATGAAATTAAAGATTATGTTATTAAATATTTGATCCCTAAAAAGGAATTTGAAGTTTTAAATTATAGCCCACAATTATATGATTTTATATTAGCCATAAATGAAAGCTTAGATGGTAATCCAAAAATTTATGAAACGTTTAAGGAGAAATCTCATGAGTTTCATTCAAAAATAGTTTATGCTATCAAAAAAGGAATTGAAGATTTTATGGTTCATGTAATTACAACAATAATAAACGATAACCCAAAATTGAAAGAAGAGGAATATTTTGATGATAATTATAATAATATAGAAAGAGATAGATTTAATTATTCCAATTATGTTTGGAAGAGAGTAGATTTAGATGAAGTATTAACTCTTTATTTTTATGTTATAAATCCAGGACTTAGAATTCTTCTACATAACTATTTTATAAAAGCTGACATTGAGTGTTGGAGAGAATATGAAAATTTTGATTTTAAGGAGCTATTATTCTTTTTAAATAGTGAAACAGTAAAGGAAGATTTTAAAACTTATATGAAATCACTCAATTTTTTTGAAATACCTCCGTTAGTTATCCTTTTGAGATTTTTTTTTGATGTGAAATTTAAACATTTATTTACATTTGATAAAATAAAAGAAGTTATTGAACCTTATCTTTCTAGTCAAATATTTAATGAAAACACTAAACTTATGATAGCTAAACTTATATATTCCTTTTTCGTTAGATTGAATTATCATTCTGTATCTTTCTTCGATAGTGATTTAATTAAACTTATAGATAAAAGTGATATAAAAATATTAAATCTATTTCACAATGTTTTAAATAAAATAAATTATATTTTGTATTGTAAAAATGAAAAATTATATTTAGAAAGATATGCACCAACCAATGTATTATCTAATAAATCCTTTAAATTAGATGCATTAAAAATTTTCCATGAATTCTTATCTACACTACCTGAATATATAAAGCGTCCATTAGTCAATTTTTTTGAAACTGATTTTATAGAAACATTAACTGATCTATTATCTGATTTTTTTAAGTATGCAAAAACATATTTAGATATAGGTACAAACATAGATTCATTTGAATCAGAAGATTCTAATAAGATTGAAACATTTTTTAAATTAAGTTATGTTTTTAGCAAAAATAAAAATATCATTGAAGACACATATGAGAAACTAATTGAAAATAAGCCATACTTCAAGGATATGCCTATTTTATATTCTAGAAAAATAAAGTATGATCATTCTAATGAAAAACTTATATATGAAAATGAATTAAAGTTAGAAGATATATTTGACGAAAAATCACTCAAATTATTATTGGAAATGTTATTCAAAGAACATTTTACATTTTCAGATTTGAATAAAATGTTTGGTGAATTTATGAAAAAAAATAGTTTTGTATTCCCTAAATTTGAAAAATTAAAACAAAAAATAATTCTAGATGGAAATGAGAAATTTTATTTGAATATTTATAAATATCTTTATGATAAATTTCAACTTTTAAATATTCCACAGCCAATACATGAATTATTTTATCTGTTTATAAAAAAACTATTAGATTACTCTCTCACTCCTATAAAATTAATAGATGATGAATTGCAGGAATCTTTTAACACTGAAATACAAAATAAATATCTTAGATATTGTAACTTCTTGGATAATTTGTTTAAATGCTTATTTAATTTTTATTATTATGATGAATCATATCATTGTGAATCATTTGGATTTTTTACTAATGAAGAGGTGCCACTTGAACAAAAACTTTTAAAACTTATGCAAACACCATTTATAGATATACCTGAACCTACAAAACATAATCCTTTACAAGAAGAATATAAGATTGATAATGATCAAATAAATTTAGATTTCTTAAAACAGTTTATTCCATCCAGTGAATCTATGGAAAAAGAAGAAATTGATGCAGAAATTTTCAAATTAAGATATTTTGTTATAGAAATTACGAAATTCATATTACGCACTGTATTATCAAAAATGCCTCCTGATTATTTAATAGACATGGAATATGATACTTTGAATATGGATATAGATGATATAATTTCAAATATGCATTCATTTTTTAAAGAAGTTCGCAAAATTAAAGAACCTGATGAACCAGAAGTACCTTTAGTACCTGACTCAAAAGGATCTGTAAGCAACTTTAACAATAATAGTGATGGAAACGTTAAATTTGAAAATCTAAAATATTATTTTAATAATTATTTAATAGAATATTTTTTAAAAAACAATATGATATTTAAACATTTTAGTGATTTTATCAAAAATATTGACAAATTTAAACAATATTTTCCCACTTTATCTGAATTATATTTATTTGTTGATAAGCGCGTTAATATTATCAATTCCCTTCATAATCCATACTATACAAAAATGGCAAAAACACAAACTATTATTCAAATTTTTGTAGATACTTTTAAAAGTTTTGGAATAGAACTTTATGAATTATAAGATATGAGAAAATTTTCTTATAAAAATATAATCATGTATAGTGATATTTTTATAATTCTGCATAATTTCTGTTAATTTTTTTTGTATTCTATTTTATATTTTAATATTTGATATATATACATACATAAATACATACATACATACATACATATATATATACATATTAATGTATCCTATAATAATATGAATAAGAAAATAACTTCTCAGTAATACAAACATGTTAAAATTATGATTACAATTTTATTTCTTTAATTATTATTCAAATAAAGATAGTCTAATATATTTGAATAAAAATATAAAAAAAAAAGGAAATAAAAAATTTTAATTAATATGTAGAATGTTATATTTTTATATAAAGTTCCTCTTTAAACGCATTAAAAATATTAAAAAAAAATTATTCTACATAAAATTTAATTAAAAACGTATAAGTAAGATTAAAAGGAAAGTAAAAGTTTTAATTTGTAAATTTATAACAAAAGATACAAAAAAATAATAAAAAATAATAATAAAAAAAAACAAATATAATACAAAGATAAAACAAAATAAAAAAATAAAGTTAAAATCAATCTTTAAATAATATACTTTATTTTTACATTTTTTAAGTTGTAACGATAAATTATTAAAAAAATATATTATAAAAAATCATATTTTTTTTTCATTTTTCTATTAGTGTATCTATTACTTGTAAAATTCATAATATTATGCTTTAAATGCTTTTGTTAATATAATTCATTTATTAGGGTTTACTGTACTAATGAAACTCTTTTAAATAGAAAGACTTCACATATTTTTTAAAAATTAATAAATGTGTTATTTGCCTATTTATATTGAATTATATTTTTATTAAGAGTTCTTTATTATATTTATTTTTTCATTTTTAACAATTGTTTTCTTTGCTTTTTAACAAAAGATTTCCCTCCTATATTTTTCTCTGTCTGAATTTTTGTATATTTTTTTATACACCATTTCTTCATGTTTTTGTCTTTTTCTAATAAATTTAAAGCAGATAAACATCTTTTTTTTCTTCTATTGGATGTATGTAATGATTGCGATTCCTTTCCTTCACCAACTTTTATTTTGTCATTACTATTAACTAATGTAGCTACTTGAAAAAAATCTGGCATTTTTTCATCTTTTTTTATTTTATGATATTCATTTACTGTATACATATTTTCATGTTGAAGTAACTTCCATTGTAATTTTAATTCATCTGTTTTTTCATTTTTCTTCATATTTCCCCATTCATCTAAATAATTCTTTTTTTTTTCTTTTTCTTTTTTTTTATTTTCTATTATATCATTTACATAATCTAAAACGGATAAAGGTTCAGGAGTAACTGCTTCTAAAATATTTATTCTTTTTTTATCTAATTGAGTCATCTTTTTTATATTTGAACAAATCAAATAATCCTTATACTTAATTATACATATTTATGTATTTTTTTTTTTTTTTTTCTGTTTTTCTCCTTTTTTACTGATAACAAATAACAAATTTTAAAAAAATATCATTTAAAAATATATTTTAACAATAATCATTAAAAAAAAAATTTTTTTATTATATAAATTTTGTATAAATAAATAAGCAATATTAAAAATAAAAATTCTATATATATTAAGATGCTTACTTTTTTTTATAAAGTTTAAAAAAAAAAAAAAATTATATTTTCTTTAAAATTATAAATTGTTCAAAATTAAATAATATCTTTGTTTTAAGTAAATATATATATATATATTCCTGTATCACTATATATTTTTAGAAGAAATGATAAAATATTATCTTTAAAAAAAAAAAAAAAAAAAAAAAAAATTAAAAACATATGTTTTGTATATCAATATTTCTAAATTAAATATATATATTAAAAAATTTTTTTTTTAATTCAAAATTTTTAAAGATTTATATTTTTATTATATAATTTTGATTTGATTATTTTCTTTTTTTTTTTTTTATTTTCTTGATATATTAACACTACAAAAAAATATGAATGAATAAAACATTAACAAAGTTTATATATATGTTTCTTCTTCTTTTATTTGTAAAGATAAAATGTCATTTTTTAAAGGAAATTAATAATGTTGCACTTTTAGATTCTAAATATTTCTACATTAAATTAAGGAGAAGAAATAATAGAAATGTATTACATTTTTGTTTTATTGAAAATAACATAAAACGAAATATAAAAAAAAAAAAAATTTGTAAAAAAAAATTAATTTTATTAAGTGATTATGTTACAAATGAAGATGGGAAGTCTTATAATGAAAGTACAAAAAATAAGTATATAAGCCAAACTTTTGAGGGAATTTCTATTTATCCTTTAAAACAAGAAGATAAGGAAAATCCATTAAGAACAAAAATACCTGCAAATGAATTTAAACCAAAAAGAAGTTTAGGTCAAAATTATTTAAAGGATGAAAATATAATTCGAAAGATGGTAGATGCAGTTGAATTAGATATTAATGATTATTTCTTTTTCAAAAATAGTAAGGTTAATGTTGAAAAAAAAAATGAACAAAATTGTAAGAAGGAAAAAAATGAAAATGAAAAAAATAGTGAATGTGAAAGTTTCGAAAAACATAATTTTGAAAGTATAAAAAATAAAGGAAAAGGAATAATAGAATTGGGTTGCGGCTTAGGGCAAATTAGCAAATTTTTATTTAGAAAATATCCAAATATGACAGGAATAGAAATAGATAGTAGAGCATTGTCAATAATTAGTAGAACAATGCCAGGATTTGATTTTATTCATGATGACGTATTACAAGTAAATTATAGAGAATTATCATTAAATAAAAAGACAAAGTTAACTGTTATTGGAAATTTACCATTTTATATAACTTCGCAAATATTATTTTGCTTATTAGATTTTTATAAATATATAGAACAAGCAATAGTTACTATTCAATATGAAGTAGGACAAAGAATAGTAGCTAAACCTAATAATAAAAATTATTCTATTTTAAGTATACTTTTTAGTTTATATTCTAAACCTTATTTGCTTTTTAAAATTCCTAGTAAAGCGTTTTATCCTGTTCCGAAAGTAGAGGCTGCGGTTATGAAGATTATTTTTAAAAAAGAAGATTTTAATTGTAATTTACTATTTTTAAAACAAATTTTAAGGTATGCATTTCAGCAAAGAAGAAAAAAGTTAAAATCAAGTTTAAAGCCATTGCTTAATCAATATAATATTAATCAAATTCCACAATCATTTATAGACCTCAGACCACAACAATTACTTCCATGTCAGTTTATTGAACTTACGAATATTTTATTTCCGTTAAATATATATCCTTTTGATCAAAATATTCAAACTAAAGTCTGGAGAAAAAAAAAACATGGAGAATAAAATATATATATTTACATATATACATTTATGAAAAAAAAAAAAGAAATCAAATATTTGTATATAAAAATAAGATATAAAAAATTGTTCATTTTTTATAGCTTTTTTTTTTTTTTTTTTTTTTTTTTTTTTGTGTGTGTGTGTGTGTGTGTAGATAGTAAAATTTTTTAATTTTTTTTTCTAAAAAACAAACTCATTTTCAATGAAACAAAAGTCTACATATCTTAATATATAATTTCTAAATTGTAAAAAAAACTAGAAAGAAAAAAAAAAAAAAAATGAAAAGAATTTGTAAAGATATTTTTAATTTAAAATTATTTTCATTTTCAATTTTTAAATAAAAACATAAAAAAAAAGAAAAAATTATGAAGGAAATACTCCATATAAAAAATGAAGTTTCAGAAAAAAGTTAAAGTTTTTTATTAAATTGAAACATATAAAATCTGAATACTGCATTATAAATAAACTAGGATTAGTAATAAAATTAATGTAACTAACATACTTCTTAGTAAAATGTAAACATGAATACAATGAATGAATAGCAAAATAAAATTAGAATACATTTATAAGAAAAGTTAAAATCATTTCAATTTTTGATATAATACTATTAAATATAGCAACAATATAATTAATAATATTAAAAGGTAGATATGATTTATTAAAAAAAAATAATTTAAGAGGTTTTGCATATGATGAAGTAATTAAATAGTTTTTGTTGGGAGAACAATTCTTTAAATGAAGTTACTATTCTTGTATTATAAAAAAGGTAAAAAATTAAAATAAAAAAGTATATTTTCTGTCAATTTTACAATGCAAAAAAAAAAAAAAAATTCAACAAAAAGTTGTCATTCTATAAATTTATTCAAAGGAATTAAATTTTTTCTTATTTTGATTGCTTATTTTTATTTTATTCTTTTATTTTTTATGAAATATTCTATATATATGTTACATTCTAAAAATAAAAATATCTTAAAAACAAAATTTTATGTATTTTTCAATTAGTAATTTTATTAATTTTTATGATAAATTTAATAGGAAGGAATGGGAAATATCTATAGTTTTACTTTTTTTTTATATTTTTTCCTCAAAAATTGAAACATATTTAGAATAAAAAATATTTTTAGCTATTATTTCTACTTGTTTTTTTATCTGTTTTTTTCCTTAAAAATATTTCTTTAAATTTAACAATATAGGAAAATGTATATTATATTTTTAATAATGAAAAATATGATGGAGTTGTATCATTCATTTAAATGGATATATGTGAAAATTATTTAAATTTTCAGTTTTTATCATTATGTTGAAAGAAAAAAAAAAAAAAAAATGTTTATAAATATTTGATTTTAAAATATAAATGATTTTCATTATTATTTAAAAAAACGTAGTTTTCATAATTATAAAAATTTTATAATCCAATATATTTATTATAAAATTAATAAAAAAAAAAAAAATTGAAGCAAAAATAAAATGAAAATACAAATAAAAAAAAAAAAAAAAAAAAAAAAAAAAAAAAAAAAAAAAAAAAAAAAAAAAAAAAAGAATTCACACACGTTATCCTTATCTTGATGAAATTTTCTAATTTATATTTATTTGTTTTTATATTTTTTATTTTATAAAAATTTTTTTATATAACTTTTTTTAATCCTGTTTAATTATATATGCATATATATATTTTAACAATAATTTCCTTTTAATTTAATTCATTTATATATAATTATAATTTTTATTTCTTTTTTTTTTTTTTTTTAATATCAAATAATTTTTTTTTAAATGTATTTTATACTTATTTTAAAATTTTTAATTCATAAAAATTTAATCATGCATTATTTACAACATATTTATATAATATATATATATATATCTAAATATTCTATCATTTCTTGTGTTTTTATTTATTTATTTATTTTTTTTTATTACATCTCTTTAAATTTTTGTATATTTTGTTAATTTGTGTTTTTATTTTATATTTTTTTTTAAATGGATAAATTCGATTTATTTAATTATAGAGTTTTACTTTTAAATGAATTCAAAGAAAATGAAATTGTAAATAATTTTTCAAATATTAAAGTAAAATATGAAACTAAATTGTTAAAATTACTTGAAAATATAAAAAATAATTATATAAATAGTAACAAAAATGATGTAGAATATGTGAGTAACGAAAATAATGAAGATAAAATAAATAATAATATAAATTATGAAGTTGAAAATAATAATAGGGGAGAATTAATTAATAAAAATGACGTTGATCATTTAGTTAATAAAAATAAGGATATAGATGACTTAAGTTATTTATCAAACGAAAATTATCAAAAAAATTATAAAAGAAAAAGAAGTGAAAACTCTTATGATGAAATTGAGGAACTAAAAAAAAAGAAAACAGGAGATTTGATAGATGAAACAGCATATTTATTAAATGAAATAGGAAGTAGTGAAAATATAAATTCTTTAAATGAATACATAAAATTTGATGATGATTTCAAGTTTTTAAATCAAAAAGATTACTTATTTGAAATTCCAATAAAAGAACATTGTGATATGAAAAATATTTTTACCAATTTTTTTGATGAAATTAAAAATAAAAATTATGTAAATATTTGTAGAAAAATATATTTAGAATCAGTAAGAAGGAATCTTAAAAAAATAGAAGCAGAATCTTACATTTCTCATTTTCTTTTAGCAAAAGATTGTTTTAATAAATTAAAAAGTGATTTATCTTTGTTTTATTTTGATTTTTTTTTGTGTATTTTAAAAGGATCAGTAACAGTTGATAGTGGAATAAGTTTTATTGTTGATGATTTAATAAGTGTCCATCATAATATTTTTGAGAAATTAAGAAATATTATAGGTAGTAAAGATTTTTTCGAAAAAAATGTTGTAAATGAGAAAGAAAGTATAAAAGAAAAGGAAGAGTTATTAAGAAGATATATAAACGCACCTTTTAAAGAAATGATCTTAAATAGTATACATTATTTAATAGAAATAATAGATAATTTAAAAGAATATGATAAGGATCTATATATTAAATATAAAGATATTTTAGCAAAATGCATAACCTCCTTAGAAAAAAATAAAGTAATATGTTATAAGGAAGCAGCTACTTATATTGAATGTAAAAATTTTGATAAGTTAAATTTATTTAATAAAGAACTAAATAAGTTAGTTACAAAAATGAAAACAAAAAATATATATAGTATTTCAGTTTATAATTTAATAAGAGAAAATGTAAATGGATATTCAAAAATAATTTTTTTGTTAGAAAATTTTTTTTCTAATAATAAGAAAAGTGGAACTAATCAAAAAAATATAATTTCAAATTTATTTTTAAAATATAAAAATAAAAAATATAACTCTAAAAAAAAAAAAAAAAATGAATTAATTAAGATGAAATACAAAGATAATGATCTTCACACATTTAATAATACATTATCATCTACAATAACAGAAAAAAAACCAATTAAAAACAATAATGAACAAAATTTAATTAATAATATTACATCATTTAATGATAGTTTTGTTGAATATTATAATATAAAAACAGATGATACGAAATTAGAAAATGATGTAGATATAAATAAACAAGGTAACTATAAAGATATGGAAAATACAGGGAGAGAGGATTTTTTCATTAAAAATGAAAAAAAACATAAATCTGAAAATGAAGATAAATATAATAGATATATTAAAAGAAATAAAAAAAAGTGGAAGAGACATTTGAATTGTTATTATTGTAATGATTTAATAAAATTAAAAAAAAATATTTTTTATATATCAGGGTTACATAATTTATGTCCACGTAGAATTTTATCAATACTATTATTTTATTATGAACAAAATGTAAACAGTGAAAAACAGCTACTTCCTTTGTTTTATTTATATTCTAAAGAAACTATAACGGATATAATAATATTGGAATTGAAAATAAGAAATAACTATTTGAAAGATATTGAAAAAGAAGAATTGCTTAAATTAAAATTGATTAATAAAAGTGATGATATAGAAGAAAATTATCAGTCTAAGTTTCTTTTTAATGCTAATAATTTTTTTAGTTTTAATTATTTTAAAATGTGCTCTATATTAATATTAAATGATTTATTAAATATAAATGTTTTTTATTCACATATATTACCAAATGATTTATTATTAAAAAATGCATTCGAAGAATTATATAAAAAGTTTTATAATGATTACGAAAGTTCACATTTAAATAAATTGTCTTCTTTTTTTTATTACAACATTCCATTTAATATAAATAAAATATATGATTTATGTGAAAAAGTGAATAAATATTGTTTGAAAAATAAAAATAATGATAAAATGAAAATAAATAATTTAGAGGATAATTATAGTGACATTCCTACTTGTACAGATATTTTTATAAGTAATAATGATAATAATACTAATACTAATAATAATAGCAATAATATTAATAATAATAATAATAACAATAATAACAATAATAATAATAATATTAATAATAATGATAATAGTCATAATAATATTAATTACAATGATAATAATAATACTACTACTAATAATAATACTAATAGTAATAATAATAATAATATTAATTACAATGATAATAATAATACTAATAATAATGATAATAACCATAATAATATTAATTACAATGATAATAATTATAATACTAATAATAATAATGCTAATATTAATAATAATATTAGCAATACTAATACTAATAATAATAACAATAATATTAATAATAATATTAATAATAATAATAATGATAGTAATACGAATACTACTAATAATAACAATAATATTAATAATATCAATAATATTAATAATAATTATAATGATAATAATATTAATAATAGTAATAATGATAATAATGATAATAGTAATAGTTATAATAAATATATAGACAATAATAATATTAATAATTATAATAATGATAATAATATTAATAATAGTAATAATAATAATGATAATAATATTAATAATAGTAATAATAATAATAATAATAGTAATAATAGTAATAATAATAATGATAATAATATTAATAATAGTAATAATAATAATAATAATAGTAATAATGATAATAATGATAATAGTAATAGTTATAATAAAAATATAGACAATAATAATATTAATAATAATACTAAAAGCATAACTAAAATTTTAGAGGAAAGTGATCCTTTCTTTATTTATGATTCTGTTTTGAATTATTTGTTAAATACAAAAAATTGTGAATTAAAAAAGAAATATGAACAAAATATAGAATTAAATAATAAGGATGCAATAGAAGTTTATTTATTTGACATGTTAAATAATAAATCTAATAACAAAGAAAATTTTATTAAAAATTTGATTGAAAGAGAAATTAAGATAAGGATGGAAATAAATAATTCGAAATATTCATCTTATGTAAATTCATATAATTATTTATTTTTAGAAGAAGATAGTTATTTCTTTATTTTAAGTAGAATATTTTTTATGAAAAATCCGAAATTTTTATTTTTGTCTTCATTAATTGATTTAAATGCATGGTATTTTATAAAAAAAATTTCAAATCATATGGCTACTTATAAGTGTAATCCTTTTTTAAATTATTATGTTAACCTCTCTTTATCTAAGTTGATAAATTATGTTATCTCTTCATTTGAAAAGGTTTACTTAAATAACAGTGCAGATAATAATAATTGTAATCATATAGAACCTTCATCTTGTATTGATGAAAAAAATTCTTCATGTAGATGTAAAAAAAATTATATATCATATAATGGAAATAGTTTTGTAGAATATAATGAGACTCATTTGAAAAATGAGGAAGGAAATGAAAAAGAAAATGAAATAAAAAATAAAGAAGAGATAAAAGATTCAAATAAGTATTATTTTAGCGATTATAATAAAAGAAATAAGAAAGTTAGATTATTAAATAAAGCGAGTTCAAGTAATGCATGTTTCTTTTGTAATATTGATTTATGTTCTTATAAATTGTGTAGTTATGAATGCATTAAAGTTATAAAAAGAAACAAAAAATTTTTTCAAAATTTATTTAAAAATGAAAAAAAAATTGAGATTAAAAGGAAAAAAATTAAACAACTAATTAAATTAAATAGCATTAGAATCATGAAAAATGAAAGAAAAAAAAAATTGGGAAGAAATAATATAAAAACAAAAAGTTTTATTATTTTTAAAAAATTAAATTCAATTCTTTTTAATAAAGGTTCTCAAAATGGTTCTCCATTATTTTCTATTAATCATTTATCTGATTCTTCTTTATCATCATCTGTTTCATCAATAAACAATAATAGCAATTTATCATCTGTTGAAAATTCCTGTTTAAATAAAACAAGAAACATAAAAAGCAAAAAAGAAAAAAAAAGTAGTGATAATTTATTGAATAATTCTACAAATAGTGGAAATATGAAAAATATCCATTTAAATTTTGATACATTTTTGAATTTTTTTATTTCAAATAAAGAAAAAAATAGTTACATAAAAAAAATTAAAACAATTGATGATTTTTTTGAAAGGATATTAATATTTTTAAAATATTTAGGTTATTTTGGTTATATATATAAATCATTAATAAAAAAAATACTAAATATTTTATGTGCTTATGTAAAAAAGTTGAATGTTAACTCTAATAATTTTCATAAAAATTTTGATAATTTATTTGTAAAATTTCTTTTTTTTTGTTTAATTAATGATGATGAAGAAAGCAAAAATATTAATGAGGAAATATGGAATATATTAAGTTTAATTCCTGTCTCAAAAAGATATAATATATATCTCAAGTTTTTTAAAAAATTAGAAAAATATAAGAAGGATATTTCAAAATTAAAAAATATAAATGATAGTAATAACAAATCAGAAAATTCAGTGGTTGAAAATGAACATAATTCTATAAGTAAAGTATCTAATGAAAATATAAATTTATTAAAAAATGAAATAAATAATAGCATTTCAAATGTGAATGTATCTAAATATATAACTAAAAATTGCTATTCAGTAGCAATATTGTCTAATATTAACTTTGAAATAATTAAAAATAAATTGAGAAAAATAATAAAAAGAATAACATCTGATATATTAAAAGATAGATATAATGCTAATGTTCAAAATATGCTAATGCAATTCACGAAATTAATTAATTTAAATCCTTTTGTCGCATCTGAAGTTATTTTACAACAATGTGAACTCTTTGATAGTAATATGATTATAACATTATCAGAATCAATAAAAAATATACATAGTTTATCGAGTGATATATTTCTGTTTAAAATTATTGAGAGACAACAGTTATTAAATGTTAATAGTTATCAATTAAGTAAGCAATGTAATAATAACAATTCAGATACTTTTGAAAATTCTATTTTAAAGCCAAAAAAACTTATAAATCTTTCATTAGTAAGTGCAAAATTTTTATCAAAACACCCATCTGTTGAAATTTATCCTCTTATTATTTCAATTATAAAAAGAATATTTTCTGAATTTCACACAACTGATGAGCTTTTTTTAAGGGATAAAAATTTTGTATATAATAAATTAAGAAATGACAAAATTAAACATCTAGAAAAGTTTAATTTAAACTCTAAATTAAATGAAATTAGCGTTCCTAATTCCGATATCCTTAACATCAACAAAGATATCAAAAAAGAAGAATTAGAAAGTAATAAAGATGAAAAAAAAGAGGATAATGAAAAAAATAATCAAGAAAATAAAGAAGATGATATAAAAAAAAATATTAAAGAAAAACAAAACATGAGTAATGATGAAAAAATACAAAAATTTAATAAGGAAGAACAGGAGGATAATAAGGATGAGAGAGAAGAAAATATAAAAAAAGAAGAATCTAAAAATGATGTGAACAAATTTAAAGAAGATATTACAAATATCACAAATGAAAATAAGGAATTTATTTTAAATGATACGAGTAATTTATATGATGATATTTATAATGGTATCAGTAATAATATATTATATAATCATAAAAACGAAGATAAAATAAATAATGAGACAAGTGAATTAAAACTATCAATTTTAAAAGCATTAAATAAAAAATATCCAAATGTTATGACTGGTTTTATATTTGATTTAGATTATATTCAAAAATTGATTGAAATATATGGTGGGACTAATGCATGCGTAGATGTTCAAGAGTTGAATGAAGATCAGTTGAATGCACAATGTGGATATAAATTGTTAAAAGAAGAAATTATGATTTTAGAGAATAATTTAAATTTAAATATAAATAATACAGATTATGAGTACATAGAAAAAGCAGAATTAGAGGATGAGAAATTAAAAAAATTGTGTATTAAAAATGCAACTGAGACTTTAATAAATCCAAATATAATTTATTTGATTTTTTTTATTTTATCAAAATTAAAAGTTGAATATTTATTTGACAGTAATACTAGTAATTTAAGAAATTTATCTTCTTTGGTAGATAAAATACATGGTGTTTTATTGCAATTTATTGATTTTCTTCAAAATAATTGTGATCCATCTATATATATATCATTTATTCCGAATATTTCAGAAATTTTTGAATTTTTTGATATTTCTCAATCATTTCATATAATTAGATTTTCATTCCCTTTTTTTAATGAAGAAAAAAATAAAGAATCAGATAATTTATTGGATGAATTAAGCAAGTCTACATGTATAAATGATGAAAAAACTAAAGATGTGAATTATTACAAAAAAAAAATTGAAGTAAAATCAAGTAATATAGCAGGTGATAAAAATAGTAAAAGTTCAGTTAGCAATACGGTTAATGTTGTAAAAGAAATAAAAATGGGAGAAAAAACAGGTTTAAATAAAATACAAGAAAATATGAAAGAAGAAAAAAAAAATGAAAATTGTTTTGATAGTAAGAAAAGTAATAACATTGATGATAGTAAAATGGACAATCAAAATAATGAAATAAGTAAAAATAATAACATCGAAGGTGTGAAAAAGAATGAATACGATTCTAGCTTTAACTATTTAAATGAATATAAATGGAAGAAACTATTAATGCCTATTATTGAAAAATATTTAAATGTAGAAAATTTAAATGGGATAAATATTGATTTTTACTTAACTTATTGGAGATTAAGTATAACTGATATATATGTACCACATAAACAGTACATAAAAATTTTAGAAATATATGATACACATATAAAAAAACTAGAAAAATTTTCTGAAGAAAATAAAAAAAATGAATATAAATGGGTTTATAAAAAAATTAAAAAGTTACGTTTAAGAAGATCAAATATAAAAAATGAATATGATTATCATATAACTCACACGAAAAAAATAAAAAAATTTTTATCTCATATTGTAGAACATTGGGTGAATCCTCAAGAAATTGGTTTAAATACTTTTGTTGCCTTTATTAAATATTTAATTGCACCAAGGATATTAAATAGTGAAAAAGATGCTTTATTTTGTTCAAAATTTATACAGATATTGTTAGAATTTCACACACCTTTATTTAATTTATGTGTTTTAATTTATGTTTTTACAAAAATGTTAATGCCACTTATTAATGCGTGTACTGAAAAAGAGGCATTGAATATAGGAATTTTTTTTAATGATTTTTTTTCATATATATACTTATTATGCGATGATGTTAAATATTTTACAAATGTATCAGATAAAAATCCTTGTTTTAGTTATACATTAAATTTTCAATCAAAAGACACAATAAAACATTCATGCATAGTAGATAAAGTATTCAAATGGGAAAGAGTTATTGTTTCTTTACTTTTTGAAAATAATAATTCTGAAAAATCATGGATTAATTCCAAATCTGTTGTTATTTTTTTATTTCGTTTTTTTAACTGTTTTCCTTATTCAACGAAAATTAAAAGTTCAATAAAAACAAATTTACAAAAATTACAAAATTATGCTCAGAATCAAGGCTGGAAGGATATTGTTATATCTATCAATAGTTTAATAACCATAATGGAAAGGAATAAGTAACTTTTTTTTTTTTTTTTTTTTTTTTTTTTTCTTCAATATTTTATACATTTACTGACAAAAAAAACCTTATTTATAAATGAACATGTACATAAATTTTCCTTAATATTCATTTATAAATAAATAGAATTTCATAAACATTTTCTAAAATTTTACATTTCTTTTTCAGAAAAACTATAACAAATGAAAAAAAAGAAGAAGTAGAAATTAAAAATCAAGAAAATAAAACAAATTCTTCAAGAACGAACGGTATTTTATATATATATAAATGTATATAAATATATATATATATATATTTATATATATATATATTAATATAAATTTCCTTTTTTTTCTTATATATTTGTAGCATCTTTTGTTAATGTAGATAATAATATAACAATGAATCCCTTTAATACATCCAACTCAATCCAAATGAATTCCAATACTTCTTTTATTCCAGTTTCTAAAAATATATATAACCCAAGTAAATACATCATGAAATATTTTTATTTTTTATTTTTATTATATGAAGTTAAATGAGACAAAAAAAAAAAAAAAAAAAAAAAAATTGAGAATAATATGTATAAACGAATAAAATGAATTCCAAAAAAGAAAATTATAATTTCCTCACTATATATATATATATATTAAACAAAATAAAAATTTCTGTTTATATATATGTATTTTTTTTTGTTTTTTTTAGGTATATTTCCTGTTGCTCAAAATCATGTTAATATGTCTTCAAAACCATATATAAAAGAAAATAATTTTAACAATAAAATTGTTTCTTCTCAAGATCAAAATAAGTAATTTATTAAAAACAAACATTAAGTTCATGCAAATATTATTTGTGTAATTTACAATATATATATATATATAATTTTAATTAGTAAAAATTTTAGAGAAAATATTAATAAAAAAAAGTATTCTTATAAATTTCGTGAATAAAATAAATTATGGAAAAATAAGAAAAAAATTTAAATTTAAATTATATAAATACTTTGTGTATATCAAAATAATTCACTAAAATATTTTTATGATTTTTGAAGATTTAATTAATTTTTTTTTTTTATATACATTTATTATTATAAGTCTTTATAAAAAAAAAGAAAAAAGACATATAACATGATTTTTTTTTTTTTTTTTAATTCTTTCAGCGTAATTTCACTATCGACAAGAAATTCAAATTTAATGAATAATAATAAAGACAATAGTAACAAAAGAAGAGAAGTTTTCAATAATAATATAAGAAAAAATTTAGATACATATCAAAATTCACAAAATGCATTATCACATATGAATGACAAAAACATTGTTAACAAAAAATTAAGAGTGGATAATCGTAATTTAAAAAACGAAAATATAAATTATACAATGTCTCAAAATTTTGTCAATATTCCTTCATATATTCCACCACCAATTAATGATATACCACAGAACAAAGTATTTTCAAATATTCACAATCATATAAAAAATAATAGAAATTCAAATAATTATTGCAGAAGATAACTTTCATATATTTTTATAAATAATATAAATAAAGTTTTTAATTGTATATTTGATTTAATTTTTTTTTTTTATTTTAAAAAGATATTCGACTTAATATATTTTAAGTTATAGTAATTTTAAAGTTATTTAAAAATTATTTTATTATTAGAACTGGAAACATTTATATATATTTCATTTATATATTTCTTATATTGTTTATTGTGTTATTAAAAATTTTTTTTTTTTTTTTTTTTTTTTTTTTTTAAAAAATTTTTTTTTTTTTTTTTTTTTTTTTTTTTTTCATTGAAATATAAAAAAAAAAAAAATTACGATATTTTTAACAATTCGTTTAAGTTATTAAATTAAATATTTACATATATATAAAATAAGAAAACTCTTTATTATAAATATTTGTAAATCATATTTAGAGTAAAAAATTAAAAAAGTGATTAAAATTAATGTTAAAAATATAAAAAATATTTAATAGATAGTATATTTAATAATATTTTATCTTAATTGAAAATTAATTCTTATTTTTATAAGAAAAGAAAGAATTCACACAATTATTAAAAATCCTTTAATTATGAGATAATATTTACCCATTATAAATATAATAGAAAACATTGTATTTTTTTTTTTTTTAAACAACTTAAATATTTTTTATATTTCCTTGTAGACCAACTATAAAGGGATATTTTTTAATGAGGAAAATATTATAAAATATTATTGTAATTGATATGAAAAAAGTCATAAATGTATATATATATATACATATATGAATTAAATAAGAGGAAAAATGTAACTTTTTATAATGATAATCATTAAAAATTAAAAAAAAAAATTTTAATTCGATAATTAATAAAAGGTAAAAATATAAAGAAAAATCAGAAAATTATTTTACCTTAAAAGGTAAATAACAAAGGAGATGGGGGATACTATTTTTTTTAATACTATTGTTTTTTATAAAATAATATTTATGTATATATTTGATATCTAATGTAACACACATTAAAAAAAAATAACAGATAAAATTACTAAATTTAAAAATATAAAAACATTAAATTTTTTTTCAATATATAATAAACTGAAACAATGTATTTTTTTTTTAATGAGTTTTTTTTTTTTTTTTTTTAAATTTTAGCCATTTGCAACATTAAATTGAATGAAATTAAAAATTATTTTCCACTTGAATACATTTTTTCAAAATTTTTTTTTAAACAAAATTGTGATACTTCAGTATTTTTTTATTTTACAAATTTTAACGTATCTCCTTTTGTCACTATATCCCTTATATTTTATATATAAAAATTAAAATATTTTCATTATTTATTAATTATAAAAGAAAATATAAAATATATACAATGAAAAAATAAAAAAAAAAAAGAGGGAAGAGTAAATTATTTGTATAGTTTTATATTTATTAAATATTTCATTGTTTTATTAAAGTATTATTTATATATATATATATATATCATTATGTTAAAACAGTGTCGAAATAAAAAAATTTTATATAATTGCATGCACATATTTTTATATATACAAATATTTAATGAAATATAAAAATTTATCAAGAATAAACTATGAAATTTATGTGAAAAAAAGGGAAAGTTATAACAAAGATATTCATAAACTCTTAGTGCATCTATTTTTATTTGATCGATTAAAGGAAACATTATGAGACATATTATATAAATAATGAAATAAAACAGAGAAATGATCTCTTTTATTACTAAATAAATGTTTGAAATAAAATTATTCAAAAAAAAAAATACACATTTGAGTTAAAAAGAGACATATATGAATTACAAAAATGTAAACTAAATTAAAGAAAAAAAAAAAAAAATTAGAAAAATTCATCTATGAATTTAAAAAAAAAAAAAAATAAATAAAACAGAAAATACAAAAAATACATTTCATTAAAAAAATAAAAACAAGTATTAAAACAAAATTACATAAATGTATATAAAACATAAAATTACATAAATTCGAAAATTCTGTTAGATGAATATACTACGTAAATACTCGTAAACATTATGTTAAATGTTCTGCAAATATTTAGTAAAATATTTTTTACTAAAAGAAATACATATAAATTATATATATGAAATTATTTGTAACATTATGAATTTTATATATATAATTTTATAAAATTTTTATCTAAAATCTTTATATATAACAAATGGCATATTAGATATATTTTTTATATTAAGTATATGAACAAACATATTTTATATTCTAGTATTTTTTTTTAAAAATATTTTTTTTAAATTATAAATGTTTAATTTTAATTAATTTTTATATAAAACATCTCATAGTTTCAATATTTATTATATTGTTAAACATACATATATACACTATATATATATATATATACACTATATATATACACTATATATATATACACTATATATATATACACTATATATATGTATATGTATATATATATATATAGATATAGATATATATATGTATATATATATATATATTCTTTTTTCGTAATATATAAAATAATATTAGAAAACGAATTATTACATTAATTAAAAAAAAATCGTATAAAAAAAAAAAAAATAAAATTATTTATCCATAAACAACAATACACATATATATATATTTCATGTTTTTTTTTTTTTTTTTTAATTTTTAATATGTTTATGTGATTTTGTTCTAATTTATTAGACTCATCTCTGAACAATTTATGTATTTATTTAATTCTTTTTTTTTTTTTTTTTTTTTTTTTTTTTT